TGTCGGCTTATCGTAACGACACGTCATCCCCTTAGGTGCCGCATTGCGAATAATTTAAAGTGATTACGTCACCGTAATTAGCAAATGTCAAACAAAATTAAGTCCACTTTTTCACAAAAATGTAAGTTATTCTGCCGCATTATAGACTTATACTTCTTATTTTGCTATTCTGTTCGATGTGAACAAACCCTCGTGACTCATACATAGCCCATAGCAAGCATGGCATGATCAATATATCAAATCGCCCAAATTTTTTGGATTTTTAACTAGTGGAAAAACAATGTTATCAGGTAAGAATTTGAGGATACATTTAGTGCCGTTAGTACTTATCATGTAAAAAAAATTGCAACAAATATACACCATAGAAAATTCGTGACGTAGTCAATTTAATATATTTTCGCTAATTTATCAATTTTTAAAACGCATTTTTTCGTAAAACGTGGAATGCAGAAGAAGCAGCACCGCGCAGAGTTGTAATCAAGGACTAATGGGACAGAGCATTAATGAGACACGCACGAGATGCTATATTACAATCTATCATAAAATTACGTAACATTCTAATCATTTTGCATTTTAAATTCCAGTCGTGGCCTATGGGTCTGAGTAGAATGCACACTTTTTTTTCACGCTTTTGCACGAAAAACCCGTGTGATGACTTGTACTGTCGCTGCTGCTGCTGCTGGCTTGATGTGTGAGCTATAAATAGAAATAGCTATACGTGTCCGCGACGCCGCGACTCCGCGGCAAGTACATTCACGTGCGCCCTCTATAATCGTAACTTGTTGGAAGGCGGGGCGAAGTCCGTTGGTCTGCTGTCAGTGCTGTGTATGTCGTATTTCTCCCCCTAGCTTATTCACCTAGCTTATTCACCTAGCTTATTCACGTAGCTTATTCAAGTAGCTTATTCACTGTGAAAGCCTATCCATTTGGTTCCATTGCGGCCACAAATGGGACGTACTAACTAAATAGCTGCGTAATGTACGAATCTTTAGCGTTCGGTGTTATTTTATAATCGAATTGCGTATGTAGTGCCATTGGCGTCGGGAATAAATTATTTGATATATCTCAAGAATAAACGTGATTGCATCACAACAAGATATATATACGAGAGCACACCGAAAAGCATGTAAACTAGTTTGGGGATCTTGTTTTTTGTGTGGAACTGTTAACGTTGAAGGCATGCTGGACGCGTGGTGTAGGGTGGTAGCTGCTGTATGTTTGATCAGAGCTAACCTTGACCGTAAGATGAGTGTAATTATGAGAACATTGTTACGGAACGCTGGTAACGATATGCGATCGATCCTATGCATAATTTATTTGTTTGTGTAATTAGCAAGCATTAATATACGGCTTAGTGAACACCAAACAGCTGAACAACACCGTCTGTAAGCTTAGCACTGATATATCTGTAAGATGTTCCCGAGTGGCTATAGTGTCTACCAGCCATATGTGGGGAGTTTTCCCCTTCCACTGCTTGCCCACGCAAGGCGTATATAAGAAAATCTGTAGCTCCAACGTTTTAGAAGATATGTCGGTAGTAGCACTTTCGATGAAAAAGGGCGTGGTCACTTTTAAAAGGGCGTGGTCCTTTTCGGGCTGTTCGCCCCGGATAGAGATTTAGGCACACATCCCAAGTTGTTCCTTGGGGTCATATTCGCCTATAGCAATTGAGATATCCTTTCCTAAATTATGTGCATACATATCTTAGCCAGGTCCTCTACTAGTAGGGGAGGGGGAATATTTTAGCATAAGCAACGTGGCATCTTGCAATAATGTGTACAGCGTCAGCAGTTAGTTGCAAGCTGTCGCTACGTGCGTGCGTGCGTGCGTGCGTGCGTGCGTGCGTGCGTGCGTGCGTGCGTGTCGCGCTCACATGCGGGCGAGCGACCCAGCTTATATGTGTCTGCTATATCGCGCGCGGGCGGGTACACGGCCTCTTGTCCTCCCCCCCTCTCTCTCTCTCTCGTCCCCCCTCTCTTCTCTCAACTCTCTACGCTTCTTTCATCTCTATCTCTCTCTTCTTCTCTCTGCTCATCTCTCTCTCTCTTCTCTCTCGCTCTCTGTCTCTCTCTCTCACTCTCTCGCTCTCTCGTCCTATCTCTTCTCTTCTCTCTCTCTCTCTCTCTCTCCTCTCCTCTCTCTCTCTCTCTCTATCTCTTAATCTCTATCTCTTATCTCTCTCCTCTCGTCTCTCCTCTCTCGATCTTCTCTCTCTCTCTCTTTCTTCTCGTTCCGCTCTCTCCTCTCTCCGCTCTCTCCTATCTCTCTGTCTGCTCTCTTCTATCTTCTTGTCTCGCTCTCTTTCTCTCTCTCCACCTCTCTCTCTCGCTCTCTTCTCTCTCGTATCTCTATCTCTCTCTCTCATGTTCGCTGTGCCTCGCTCTGCCGCCTCTGTCCAGACTGTTAGTGGATTAGCTGACATGCCTTCGCAGCGTCCACCATTTGTCAGCGCGCAGCGCAAAACCTGTCGCCTTGTCACCTTTGTTTGGCGTCTGCTGCA